CGAAAACAGTATCTGCATGTGCAGTGAACACATCAGCCACTTTCTAAAGCTACTGAGTAAATTCTAATACAAAGTTTTACTTTTACTTAATAAGAACTGGCAGGTTTAAGATATAAACTTTTCTAATGCAAAAGAGATCAGTAAGATTATTCCCCTGTACTTGAGTGAGCTAGTGAAGATGGCTTTCTTTTTTGGTCCAGTGGAAAAACTTAGTTATAAGAATTCCAGGGCCTGCCACAGATCCAGAAGGAAGTTCATGAAAAACTAATGTTCTACAAGCTGCTATACAAAAAAAAAAAAAAAAAAAAAAAAAAGAGCTGATATCTAAACTGTACTATCATTCAGTCACTTATCACCAAAGTTATAAAGTCTAGAATAAAATTTATGTCTTGAGTACTCATTTAAATCTTGGGACCACCTGTTTTCTGACAGTGCTTCACTTTTCTTACAGGTAGCAAGCTCTTGGTTTATTTCTAGAGTTTGCTTACCACTTCATTTCCTGCCCTGGGACACCTGAACAGAGACTTCTATTCATCTACTTATATTTACCTGTCACCAGGCAAATACTGTGGACCCTACGTCTTGAAATTCAATTCTTGTCCAGGCACACTGAAGAGCTTGGCTTTTAGAATTTAAATTTCACCTTTTGGATTCCCATGCCACAAGCACCTCTGAAAGAGGTCACATATCATATGAATGGGGAGAAAGGAGGAAGTGCACTGCAAAGGAGAATCTGCGAGTAACAGCACAAGCCTTCATGTATCACTCTTCCACAGTTGTTACTGTGAAGACTTGCCTCAGGGCCTGTGCTTAAAAACAGGGGCATTGAGATGCGTGCTTCCACTGAAGCCACAATGTAAATGCCCACATTTTGCCTGCTACAGATGACCTTCACTGTACAGGGCTGCAGTAGATGTGCACTGAAGTTCCTTTTCTCATGCAGAAGAAAACCTCAGGCGAACGAGATGTTTGTGGTCAATGCATGTTTAGTAACATATGATGTCTTTCAGAAGGGAGAAGCTGATATTTTCCTTCTTCATATATACAGACTCACAGAAGTACACAAGCATGCGCTTTGTCACTCTGCTAACCAGAGCAACAATGCAATGTGCTGATATAACTTCAGACCTACAAAAGAATCGATGTTAAGTAGCATTACAACTTCAGCTGTAATGCCTTCTGGCCTGCTCTGAGACATTTCAGATTTCACACTAGAAGCGAGTACAGTTTACAGAACACATTTTACTACTTGGCTTCAAAAGATAAACAGGTAACTTAGCATTTCAAACCGCAACTACTGACGAATTTAAAAACTTGCTTCCATAACATTATCCAGAACGTGGGTTTCAGAAAAGGCCTTCTGTTTCAAAAATCAAGAAGCGAGGTCCAGGGCAAGTGTGAAGCTTAATACCTTTCTTTTTAGAAAGCACTGACAATATTGATGTCACAGCAAGTTATTAAACAGCTACTAGTAATGTAAAAGGGAGTTGTAAAAGGCATATGACCACATACAAAGCTTAAAATTTTGGGGGGGGGAAAAAAAAAACCCAAAGCACTGCATTTTTTGCATACCAATTATTCTAAATAACAACTCTGGTCAGATTTCACTTTTCTCTTATGCACTTGCCTAGTCTTTATATGTCTAGAAAAGAAACACTAAACCAGAAAGTTATTTTCACCTGTACATGGTAGTTAGATTAGTTATAAGATATACAGTGTCAATGATGACTTCTGGCCTCCCAAGAACTCCTTCCTATAGGAAGGCAATGAAAAAACGCAACCCCTAAACCTTACATTCTGACAAGGCTTTAGGTTATTTTGTGATACACAACAGGCCTCCCCAAAAAGGGTATTTAAGAACCTTTTAAACTCCACCTCATTCATTGCATACAAGGGGCAATCAGTACTAATGACTGTACTTCACGGCTGTAATAGCCTGCTTGAAAACCATTATTCTGAAAAATAGTATGTAGTGAAAAATAAGGTTACCAAGGCAATACAAGGCACGAGTCAATCAGATCTCTAGGTCTTTACGGTGGTAGAAAGGCTGGAATAAAAGCCAGCATCTGTAGTTCAGGTCCTCTTTCCCTGGCAGACAGAGAAGCTGGATGCCCTACGTTAATCTCAACCCAATTGAAAGGGAGTGACCATGTGCTCGCCACTCTTCCGGCTCCCCCCTTTTCTCATTCCCACTCGGGACTACTTTTGTCAAGGACAGCACAGTGAGGCAGGTACCCACGGGCCAGCCGCCGGCACCGCTCGCACGCCGGCAGAGCCCGCTGCCCGTTCCGCGCTTTAAGGCCGGAGGCGGGCGGGGAGCAAGTGGAACCTGCCAGCCTGTCCGCGCTCCCTCTGTCCTCTGCTAGAAGGGTCGAGGAGGATGCCCGTGGGCTGCTGTCTCTGCTCCCCGGGGAGGACGCGGGGGCAGGAGCCGCTGTGCTCCCAGGTGGACCCTGGATGGAAAGGGAGAGCGGGCGGCTACCATCGTGCCCCTGGGCCCCTGCTCAAGCCACTACCGCCGCAGGGCGAGCCCACGCGGGCCTCGGGGGAGGGCCCCCCCCCCCCCGGGCAGGAAAGGAGCAGAGCAGAGCGGTCAGGCGGCCCCGAGCTCGCTCGCTGGCCCCGTCGGTGGGTGGGGGCTCAGGAGGGCTCCCCAGTGAGCTCTCACCTTTTAGAGAGGTCCATGAGGACCCCGGAAAAAAGCTTCTCTCCCAGCCGAAACGAGACCACCAGGGCATCCTCGATGATGTGATCCAGGGTGACCCGCACCTCGGAGCCAGGCAGCAGCGGAGCCTCCGCCTCCCCTCCGGCCGGAGCCACGGACACCGGGGACTTGGGCTCGACAGCGGCGGCATCAGCAGCATCCGGCTCCTCCTCCTCCGGCCGGGACGGCTCCTCCCCGGGCTCCGGCTCCGCGGAGCCCCCAGTAGCCGGCGGGCAGGGCTGCGGCTCCTCCTCGGGAAGTTCGGGGTGCCCAGCAGGCGGCGGGCAGGGCTGCGGCTCCTCCTCGGACTCCGGGCTCGGCGCTCCCCGGTGCTCGGCCTGGGGCGAGTCCACATCTGGGGTGGAGAGCGGCAGCTTCTCCGTCCTCTCAGCTTCCGGCTCCCGAGTCCCGGCGGGGCTCCGGGCTCGCTGCACAGGCGGCGGCTCCTCGGCCTCGCCGGGAGCAGCCTTTCCCCCGTCGGCCTCCTCCCCATCAGGCACCACCGACTCCACGGCCTCAGTGACGGCAGGGAGAGGGTCCGCGCCGGCCTCGCTGCCCGGGATAGGCTCCATCTCGGGCTCCGCTTCGCCGGCCCCCCCATCGCCCGGCACCGCTGCAGTTGCTGCCGCCTCCGCAGCCATGGCCGCCATTTTCTCTGCTGCTTCACCGCCGCCTCCCTCCAGCAGCGGGATCGATAACCACGGCCTTCCCCGCCCGCCTGGGAGGGAGAGCCCGCCCCCTAAGCTCGCATCCGGCAGCCTATTGGCGGACGCGGTGCGATTCTCTACTTCTATTGGAGAGCGGAGCAGTCCTTTAAGCCCAGCGGGAACTTCTGGTTGGCTAGAGGGGTCTTCATTCAATGAAGAGTCGGGAAGAGGAAGGAGGGGCGGGGCTCGGTGCTTTGCAGGCCGTTACAGATTAGAGGGGTTGGGCCCCAGGGGCTGCTCCGCCGCCTCATTGGCTGCAGGAGGAGACGCTCCCGCGGGAGGCCGGTAATTGGCGGAGCAGAACGTCCGTCAGGGAGGAGGCGCGGATCAGGAGCCGCGCGGTGACCGGCGGCCGGGAGAGGGCGTGAGGGAAGATAGCGAGGGCGGGAGAGCAGCGGGAGGGGTTGGCTAGCCCAGGAGGGGCAGCCCCGCGGGACAGGGGCAGCGCCCGCACCTCACCTGTGCTGCGGGGCGCCGTGTGGCAGGCGGGGAGTGCCACGTGCTGCGGGGGCGAACGGGGCCCCCTCTGATGGGAGTGGAGGGGGGCCAGTGAAAACCTGTGGTGAGCGGGCGGGTCCCTGGGGAGAGTGGGAAATGTGTGGAAGGCAGAGGGCCTGGTGCCTTTTGTGAGGTAAATTAACGCTGTACAAGATTAAGTAGCACGAGTTAGGTGCATCAGGTGAAGGTGAAAAGCGCACTGTCAAAAATGGGATAAAAAGTCTCAACGATTTCCCCCAAGGTGGTACTCACAGTCAGTGAACTAACCTTGTGGGATCAGTAGTTGCTACCGTGTGGGCATACCCTCTCTCCCATATCTGCCCCCATCTTCTTCCTTCACCCCAAGGTAGAAAATCTTGTATTTCCTAAAAAAAAAAATAAAAAAAAAAAAAAAAAAAAAATTGTCTGTTGCACCCATGATTTTACATTTTGGGAAGTCGAGTCCTTTGTAGAAAGGAGCAATTTGTTATGAGGAAGGATGGATGAGAAAGAAAAGTGGGAGCAGCTGGAGGCAAAAATACAAGTGCTCTTACAGTGTGAGTTGCTTTACTTTTCCTAGTGCTATTATGAGAGATTTATTGTTTAGCAGCAAATGAAATTTTCTGAAAATACAATTCGGTGAGATTTTTTTTAAAGTATTCCTTTCTTTCATGATAGTGACTGTTATTGGCAGGCTTCAAAGTTGCTACCAACTGTGCAAACAGCTACACCCCGCGTTGTCAAGTGAAAAAAAAAATAAATAATGGGCATGAAGAAGTAACAAATTTTTTGCAAGAAGTATAAGGAAAAAAAAATGATCGGTTTTAGGGCTTCATATTACACTCTATTTTCTTCTTTGTAACAAAAGTGAGTTATATGTAGTTAAAGGACTACAGTAATGCAAAGAATTTTTTTGGTAATAATAAACGAGGGCATGGAATAGTGTCCTATAACAGTAAAAAAGTTTTGTACAATTGTATGCAAGTAAAATGATCTTGCAAGCTGCTAGCAATAGGATTTTAATAAGTAACAAATGCAATTAGTAACTTCTCTGTTGTCCTGAGCGTAGTTTGACTTGCATAATAGACCTAAAGACTCCGCTTTGTATCTGCTAGTGGTTTACATGGTGAACATAATGTTTTTGTTATTGGTGGTGTAAAGCTTGTAAGCAATATATAGGAACATCACAAGAAAGCTAGACACGTTTTGGGGGACAAATACATTCGAAATATAGTTCACAGAATTTGCTAAAGATAAAACTGCTTCATAATTTTTTTTTAATGTTTTACCACCATATCTGTTAAATGGTTTGGTAGTGTGGGTGGGTAAAATAGAATATGTTTATCGGGGGAAGGAGTAGTAGATACTGAATTACGAATTTCTTTTTTTCCAGTCATGCTTGCAGCTTTGTGAGTCTGTCTCACAGAGAAACAGCAGATGGATTTAGCGTATGATCTGTGGCTTGAAAGAAACCAGAGTTGGTAAGCTTTCCAAAACTACCTACCATAATATTACTTCCTAAATAATTTTGATGCAATTTCGTTAGAACATATTTGTAAACGATCTGTATTCCATATCCTGAGGCTATAATGCTTTGAAAATGGCAACTGTTTAGGCACCCCTAAGGCTGAATATGTTCTTTGCCAGAATTCTGGAGAATTGAGATTTGTGTTGCTACTGAGTTACCTTCATTTCAAAGCTATCCCTGTGCAAGGCTTTCAGTTTTAATTCAGATCTGAGATTTCAGGGTTTTCTGTATGTTCTGCGAAGTAGAATACAGTAGTGGCTCTGGAAGGTTCAGAGTTGCAAATGGTTCATGAAGAGTTCTCATCTTGAAGGAGAATGGTATAAAAGAAGTGGTTGTAGGAGTGGAAGGAGGCCTCTGCTGTTCTTTCCTCACTTTTCTTTTTTTTTTTTTTTGTTCTGTGCAATTATGACACATATGACATGTAGAAAATGATGATTTGTTTCCCAGAAACTTTTTACCTTATTCAGATGAGTTATAGAACAGATTAAAGAAACACATTGATGAGGATAGCTCATACGTAACACCAGAACTGTTTTTACATTGCTCTCCTACGCAAAGAACCTCGTTGTGCTTGGAGGTATTCCAACTGTATTTCAACAGACCAAACTACACTCTGCATGCATAGGACTGTTCTGCACATTAGAGGTATGGTCATCTGCTCAAATGCTGTTTTCCTTATTACTGTCTTACACTAGTAATAATCTATTTGTTCATCCCAGTACTAATATTGTGAGGAATAGGCATAACATTAGCTGGAAGGGCTGGCAGAGTACAGAGGTATGTATTGTCATGTATTCTAATCTTTTGTAATTATTTTTTACTCAGGAGATAGACAGAAGTTTGCAGAAACAAAGTTGCCAGACAGCTTTCACCCAAGGGAGGCCAGACTGTCATGCCTTTTATATAAACCAGCATGGCTCATGTAGATACTTTGTAAGGTTGGTGATTTTAATTGTGCTGGCTGGTCAGTTCGGTTAGCCGCAGTTCATTTCTCTGGTGTTGCTGTGCCATGGCATAGAATAATGGCAGTAAATTCTGAGCCTACAAGAAATTGCCAACTAATACAAAGAGACTACTCAACCCTTGAGCTGATGGGACATTAAGATCCAATAGCTCCGCCCAGCAGGCTTTTTGTTATGTTAAGTTCATACTTAGGTAGAGGATAGGCGTAAAATGGAAGATTTCCACTTGCAAAACGTCTGCCAGGTTAGTGCTTATTGAAATCCACCTTGCTTTTCAGCAGGTGTTGTTTATGGCAGACTGTTAAAATGCTAACTAACATCATTTACATTTGCTGGAATCCCTGGCAATCCTTATCAGCGTAGGAAACAAATCTGGATCTATGGCTTCTTAACATTCTCAGTTGTTTCATTGAGACAACAGAAGAGATTATGTGCTTGACCAAAGCAGTTTAAACTACTGGGGGCCAGGAGTCTTAAAATGGAATATAAACAGCTCTTTTGTAGTTCCATTTGAATCTTGAAAGGTGCTGTATGTGGTTTTAAAAAGGTAAATAGGGACATTTATATACCACTCTAATGGCCAAGAGAAATGTAGTACCATAGGTACTACTTTCATAAATGAAAGTATGCTAACAAAAGGCATGTAGATGCAGGATGAAACTAGTAAGTTAAACAAAAAAAGTGTTAGCTATATATCCTTTTTTCATCCCAAATTCCTTTCATGACCATTTAATTTCTGTTTATTTTAAATACAGCCTGTAATCCCTTTAGGATAGGGTTTGTCTTTCTGTGGCTGATTTGTATAGTGATTGGTGTAGCTGGGGCCTTGTTTGTATCCTGGAAGCTTTAGAAACTGCCAAAATAAAATGAATGAAGTTAATGAAAGAAATTGTACTAGCCCACTTACTGTAGATTTCTGCCAGCAAGTGGCAGAAAGGACAGAAGTAGAAATAAGAAACTGGATTTGAGAGAGGAACTGATACAATTGGAGTGAACAAAATTATTAACCTGGAGGCAGGAAAAATGCAAAGCTCTATGAAGATGTGTTAACAGCATATTGACAGGTTGGGTAGCTGAAGAAGTTGTAGGAAGTTTGGGCTGAGTGAGTGAATGATGCCTGGAAGAAGCAGATATGATTGTATCTGTATGCCTGGGTATAGATGGGTGAAAGAACTGTTTCTGTGTGTAAGCTGGGATGCAGCAAGGATCAGGTCTGGCAGACTTGATTGCTTCTCAGTATTAGTGATACTGATTTGTTCAGTCATGACCAAAACGTATTATTGCATTGACTTAACTATGAATGGAAGATTTTGATGTCTGTAAATGGTCACGGTATGTATGTGTGCTTCAATTAATTAGTGCATCGGGTTAGGGTGTGTATCATTGAAGATGATGTATAGTGGTAACTTCATTCTCTGGGCACCAAGTTCTGTAGAAGGGCATTACCATGAAAGAGCCAACACAAAATGTAAGATTGTAATGGAACAATATACATAAATGGAGTGTCATCAGGGTTGCAGTGAAGCCAATGTGTGTGATTGCAGCATAGCTACAAATAGCTTCCTTGGAGCTGATTTAGCTCCCGGTAACAGAAACTATGATAGCAGTCCTCAGAACAGGCTGCACCCTGGTAATTACCTAGCAGTTGGAATTTGTGGTGTTACTGATATCCAAGCTAGCTGGATATGTGTGAGGTCACTACATCTGTTCATGCCACAACTGATCTGTCTTAGAATAAGCATATGAAAGCTATAAAATAGTTTGTGGATTTAAAGGGAGTGCTTATAGTGTCTTGGTAGAATTGTAGATACTTTTCCTAATATGTAGACCAGGGTGTAAGAATTAGATGAGGGTGTAAGAATTTTAGATTAGAGATTTACAATCTGAAGTTCTGACAACCTTGCTGTGACTTTGTAACTCCTCACATAAAAGATATTGTGGTTTATATACATCCAATAGCTTCAGTCTTTGCTGGGTCTTCAGCAACAACACCAAGAAATAGTGTGCTACAGGAAGCATCCTGCTTTTCTGCCTGTGTCATTCAGAATCATAGTAGCAATAGCTTCTGCTGTTGTCATTGAGTAATCTGCTTCTGTGACCCCTAGGAAAAGCAAGGTCTCACAAAAACCTCAGGGTTTTATGCTGTGTTAAAAACCCATTTTAATGTTATTCAGTGTTTGATCTGCTATTGTTGTGACATTTTCAAGGCTTTCCTGTTTAAAAAGAAAGTGTAACCAGCGAAAGGCAATATATGTAAGCAATGCAGGAGTATAAGCAAGCAATCAGAAAGTAAAGATTGAGTCTTGAATGTGCTGCAGACTCACTGCTTCTCTAATGTTAGGAAAGTGATGAGATTAAAACAATTGTTAATTACATGTAAGCTATTTTGAAACTTCATCATTGATTTATTATAGAAAATTGGTATGGAAGGAAAAAATAACGATTCCTTCCCAAAATGTTTGGTAACTGATTTTTGAAGCCATATGAATGTAGGACTCATTTGTTAGGTTTATAAATGATCATTAAAGGATCATTAAAATCTCACTGCATGCACATGTGCCCCAGAACGGAGAACTGATTTAAACCAATCTCCAATAGCTGGGGGTGCTTAAAGAAAAATTGCAACTATAAGTGAGCCCTTGGGGTGAAGCAGTGACATTAGCACACTGCTGACATGTCTCACACTTTATCATTTTAAAGAAATTTGAGTCTAGAACTTCTTGTATTATCTGATTTCTGCTTTCTTCTGAAATGTGTGCATCTGTAGGTACTGCTGGTATCTACAATGTATCTCCACATATTTTTCCATTCAGATAAAATGACTTTGAAGATGCAAAATTACTAATATTATTATTGTTTCATGTTTTGGCATCTAAAACCTTATCTCTAGTTTTGCATGCATACGTTATAACTGTCTTTATTGAAAGATCTTTCAATAGTTTAGTATAAATTTTAAAAAGTAAAGTCATCATGTGCTGAAACCTAGGTTTATAGTGTCTCTTATACAGTAATCATTGTTACTAAATGATGAACTTATTGATTATAGCTGCTTCTTTGTAGATAAAGTGCCAGTCCTTTTCTCACATGTATATGCTAGTTCTCTTCGCAATTACTTATTTTCAGTACTAAATGTTAGAGGGGTGGAATGAATTTGTTCATTTGTATGATACATTTTGTAGTACCCATCTAGAACAATCAATTTTATTGAGTCTTGGAGACTCAGTAAGCTAAAATGTGACCTTCTTATTGGAACTGCAAACCTGGCTGGCAGCTGGGCTGACCACCTCTTCATCAAGCATGGCATGCCGTTCAAGTAGTCTGTCCCTCTGTTGTGGCAGACCAGGTGGTTAACGTGGGCTTAAATTACTAAGAAAGTTCATTTTCAGTAGTGGTTTAGGTATAGAGGAAGATATTAACATGGCCTAATTTCAGTGCCTAGATTAAATGGACAGTTCAGGATTGCTGTCAGGACAGTGGTTCAGAAAGGGATGCTAAGGTAGCTCTGAAGTGATCTGTCCTTTTGACTATTCAGGAACTTAAATTTCACAGTTTACACATTTAAATTGTGATTATCACCTGTACTGCCCTATTCTCAAGATGTAAGAACAGTTCTACATATGTTAACAAGTGTCTCTTTGGGCAGTGAGTGACCATTCTATTCAGGGATCCAGTTTCATTTTGCCTTGATTTTGATGCTAAGGTTAAGCATATTTCGAAAACATAAAGGCCTTGGGCTCTGAATAACTTCATAACTAAAAAAATATTTATGTTTTCAAGGCTTATATGAAACATAATGCAATTTCTGACTATTCAGGAATCAAATTGCTTACATTATTTTAAGCAGATGAGTATTACTTATAGAAGTGTTCTATAAGTAATGGTTTTATATGATTTTTTTGTTAATTTTTCTTTATGGTTTTAGGAAAGTTTAATTTTCCAGTTCTAAAATAATGTGTACTGCATTTTCTGTGCTTTGCAAAAAGCAAAACTT